GGAAGAGGTAACTATGGGGAGGAAGTGGGAGGGGAGCTGTTGCATTGTGGTAAATTGTAGTCAATGTCATGAGACAAAATGTATGTGAACTGTTGTATGGAAAGTGAATTTGCTTTTTAAATTTTCAACCAAAACACAATAAAAATAAATAAATAAACAGGAAGCAGAGTAATGCTCAGATTTTGAAGTGTTTGGAGTCTGAAAAAAAAAAAAAAGATTGCAGTGCAGGTTGGGACACCAGAGAAAAGTAGATGAAACTCTTTTTTTTAGCTTCTCTTCAGAGTTCAGGATTGAACTGATGGGCACTTTAACAAAGACAAATATGTTAAAAAAAAAAACAAAAACAAAGAAACAAACAAACAAACAATCTTTCCATAGCTCCTATACACACACACATAAAGTAGTTTCTCATGAGAGAAAAGAACTAAGTTTCTCACGAGAGAAAAAGTTCTCCCTGGAACCCTAGCCCATGAAAAACCACCCCCCTTCCTATTATCCACCCCCTTCCCAAGAATTCTGTTGTCAAATAAGTTTAGAAACCACTGCATCCACAGATGTACTGCCTTATGTAATCACAATACACCTCAGCCTGTAAAGGGCTCTCAGAAGCTTTATGTTGAAGAAGCGCATTTACTCCCTAACACCCACACTTATTTGACTGTAAGGAAGTTTTATTTTGTTTTGTTTTTTAGTTTTTATTGTGATTTGGGTGAAAGTTTACAGAGCAAATTCATTTTTCATGCAGCACTTCATACACATTTTGTTTCATGACATTGACTGCAGTTCCCCACAATGTAACAGCTCTCTTCCCACTTCCTCCCTGTAGTAACCTCTTTCCTGTGTCCTTCTTGTGCATTCCTGCCCCCTGAGCTGTCTCCTCCGTGTGCAAACCCTGCCCTTCTGTTCTCCAAGAATTGATCGCTCCAAGGAGGGTATCTAACTGATACTGTAAGTATTCACCCTATATGCCTGTCTATTGTTTGCCTGGAAGCCACAAGAGTGAGTTGAGTTCCAGACCTGAAGGGTAACTAGGGGCCATAGTCTCAGGGGTCTCACCAGGCTTCACCAGACAACTAAAGCTGGTCTTTTTTTTTTTTTTTTTTTTTAATGACTGAGTTGTGTTCCACATGATTCTCCCACTCTCTCTAGGATCTCTTGTGTAAGAAAGGTTGTTGTGAGTGGTATCTCTTACCCACAATATACACTTTCTGAATTACTGCACTAGTAGGTTTTTGATGAGAAAATGGTCAGAGGTACTGGACACTATGGCTGGAATTAAAATACTAGGAATGGGCTAATTGTGATACTTTCCTGATAGGAGATTATCCATGTAAAGACTTAGACCACTGCTTTATACATAATGGTAACTACTGTTATAAGTATAATCATGATAATTATAATTCAACAAATATTTATTGAACAATTCTAGTATGCTGGGCTTTGTTAGGTGTTCAGGAATCAGATTAGATAGAAATTAGATATAGCTTATACCTAATTTACCCCTTTATTGCCCTGAAGAAACATTTTTTATAATACACACAGCTTTATTAAATAAGCTTTACATTAATTAGAGTCCAAAATAAACAGTTTTTGAGTATTAAATTACCCAAATTTGAAGAGCCCAGTCCTCACTTTCATTTGCTCATTAGAACTGAGATTGCGGGCATTATTTTCAAATAGAGACAATACTGGGAGAATTGGTATGGCAAAAGATGTTCAAATTCGGAGGTACTAGAAAAGATTTAGCTTGCGTCAGTGAGTGCATCAGTGTTCATTGGGCTTGGGTTAGATACAGGAAAAAGTCAGGCCTGGAGTCTGGTGGACATGGGAATGGAAAGGGGCCAGGAAAGGAGGAGACTGGTCTGAGACCTGAGCGCTTGTATCAGCAGAGGTGAAGGCCTTTACTGCAACTAAAATGAGAGGCAGGACTCAAGCAAATGCAGAGTCAAAGAGGATAGGGGATATGTTGACAAGAGAAGAAAGCAGACTTTGACCCAGATGGTCTGGTTTAGCCTTTAGCTGTGTGCTTTGGGTAAGTTGCATAAGCTTCTGAAGCCTAGTTTCCTGAACTGTGAGCTGGAGGTTAAAGCCAAACAGTTGCTAAGAGCTTTCCCAGTTCTGATGG